CTTGATCCGCTTCAATGTCGTAAACGCGATATGCCTTTGACACTTCTTCGTACCCCATGAATCGTCCTTCATGGGCCTTCGGATCCCATTTCGATCTCTTTTCCTTAGTGGTCAGCACAAATGGTCGGCAGCCGAAAACCCGCATGTGCTTCACACTTGGTCGAAATCCGTTGACGATCTCGAACGGGGTTTAATCTTGGCACTTGGGCGATGGTAGGCGATTCTTGATGTAGATTGCCGTTGTTGCATTGGTAGAGAGCGGAGCTGATGGAGCGGAGAGGCTGAAGAGAGTGGAGAAGGAGAGACTTGCTCAATTGTTGGAAGATTCGAAAGTAATTGACTATCGGGGCTTACTACTTACTACATGATTTTTATGTGGTGCACATATAAATCATTTGAAGCGTCTCGTCATCCTACGCGTCTAATCAACTAGGGTAACCACCGTAAGAACTACGTCGTAAATACTAAGCTGAACAGGCGGTTGGGATTGGACCGGTCACGGTTACCAATACTGGTAGGAAACCGATGACCGTCAGCACGCCCCCTCAATGCGAACACGCACAAATCGCGAAAGCCGCCATCATCTCCTTGTGGCGTGGCCCGTGAAGTCCCTTCGTCATGATGCCCGCTAACAGTACCGCAGTTTCACAGTACTTGAGCTTCACTTCACCGCGCTTGACCTCATCACGGATGTGATGGTACTTTATGTCAATGTGCTTGGCACGGCAGTGGTTGACCGGGTTCTTCGTCATCTTGATACACGACTGATTGTATTCATGGATCATGAGTTCCGGTCCTTCTTCATTGGCAGCCATCATGATATCACAAAGCAGACGATGAATCCACTTGCCCTCTTGAATCGCCAAGCTGAGTGCGATGTATTCGGCATCACTCGTGGACAACGAAACACTTGGCTGTTTCTTGCTGTTTGGCTTATAGCAAATCCCATGCGTCTTGGTGTCTTGCAGGTATCGGAGGATTCGCATAATTGCAACCCAGTGTTCTTTTTGGGGGTTCCCCATGAATCGTGACACATAGCCCACGGCGAACGCAGCGTTCGTGCGCGTTGCAGTGGTCAGATGCATCAACGCACCAACAGCTTCACGAAACGGAACATTGACCTTGGTAGCTGCATCGCTTGAAACGAGTCGAGAGTCATGTCCACTGGACGTGCGACTGCCTTGCAATCATCCATGCCAAAGCGCTTGAGTATGTCATCTACATACCGACGCTGACGTAGTCTCACACTTCCATCTGCGCCGTCCAAAAGCTCAATTCCAAGAACAAATGCACACTTGCCGCTATCAGTCATCTCGAAGCGTGTCTTCAGGTCTTCCTTGGTGTGTGCAATTAGCTCGCATGAGCTACCGGTGATCAACACGTCATCCACATACACCAGCAGCAGCACGCATTGCCCTCCCACAATCCTTATGTAGAGACACGGGTCGAGGCTTGACGCTTGAAATCCAATAGCACACACGAACTCGTCAAACGTTTCGTTCCATACGCGCGACGCTTGCTTGAGTCCGTAGAATGCCTTCACCAACTCCAGACAATCGAAGGAGTCCTCCAATTCCACGCCTTCAGGGATGACGCAGAACACTTGTTCCTTCATGACACCATACAGGAATGCCGTCACCACGTCGAGTTGGTCGATGGTCTATCCGAAATACTTGGATACTGCAATCACCATGCGCAGCGTCACGTACTTGACGACGGGCGAGAATGTTTCCGTGTAGTCCATCCCATATTGTTTCTTGAAACCCTTTGCCACAAGACGCGCCTTGTACTTATCAATTGATCCGTCCGCTTTGCGCTTGATCTTGAAGACCCACTTCGTGCCAATGGCGCGATGTCCTTTAGGTAGCTTGGCTGCGCGGAATACTTCACGAAGTCGCATCGACTCAAGTTCCGCACGGATAGCTTCGCGCCAATGCACTTGATCAGGACCGCTCACCGCAGCTTCAAAAGTCGATGGCTCGGATAAGTCTACTGCCGTTTCGATGGCGTTCGCACTCGCACGCCAAAACACAGGCGGAGTCGATGCATCAGCATTCTTTGTTTCTTCATCTTCTTCTTGGTGGGTCGTGTGATTGTCTGGCGCACTTGATTCTTCTAGTCCAGGCCGTTGACGCACTGTGAGCGTGGGTGGAGCTGGTACTCCTTCATCATGGGGACGACTCTTGCGCTTGCCTGTTTGCTTGTACTGCGCTTGACCTGGCGCTTCATCATCCAGATCGAGGGAGTCGAAGTCAAGGTCATCGGCGTCTTTAGCGGTGGTTGGCGGCGAAAGTTTAAAGGTGGACTCGTCAAAGTTGACATCGCGACTGATGGACAACTGCCCCGCCTCGATGTCATAAACGCGATACGCTTTAGATGCTTCTTCGTAGCCCAAGAATATCCCAGTGCGAGCCTTGGGGTCCCACTTGAGCCACTTCTCCTTCGGTTTCAGTATGTAAACCTGACAACCGAACACCCACATGTGCTTGACATTTTGCTTGGAGTTGTGGACGATCTCGAACGGAGTCTTGTGCATAACGTTAGGCGACGGCAGACGGTTCTTGACGTAGATTGCCGTCATTGCTGCTTCTGACCAGAAGCACTTTTCCAACTTGGCATGGTGGAGCATGCTGCGACCAATTGTGACGATAGTCCGAATGGCGCGCTCTACCGTGCAGTTGGTCTGGTGTGCATATGGCACCGTCTTCTGCTGCTCAATGCCTTCATCTTCGTAGAATTCTTGAAGCGAGTTGGTTGCGAACTCGCGGGCTCCGTCGTGTCGAACGAGCTTGACCTTCTTGCCAAACTGCGCTTGCACCATCTTGATGTATCGTGTGATGTAGTTTTCACTCTCCGACTTCACACGTAGACAGAAGCCCTTCATGCATCCACTGGCTTCGTCAAAGATCAGCAGTAGATATTTGCTGCCACCCAGAGAATTCATTTCTATGGGTCCGCATATGTCGACGTGAAGTAGCTCGAAGGTGTCGTATCTGCGATTGTCCTGGTTCCCTGGGAATGGTTTTTGGACCATTTTCTCTTGTTGACATCCTCGGCATGCGCTTGATCCATTTGACGTGAGAGGTACCTTCACATCCTTGATCATGTTCGTGGCCACCATTTTGCGAAGCACATCAGCTCGAGCGTGTCCCATTCGCGCATGTAAGTCGACACCGTTGCATCCGTTTGTTGTCGCATTGGCCGATCGATGAGCTGTGTGAAGCCAGTAAAGGCCATCCACAAGATATGCTGTTGCCACCACTTGGTGCGATCCTTTGCGAGCAGCAAACATCTTGTTCCCGTCGAACACCACTTAAAACTTGCCGTGCTTGTTGATCTGCGGTACCGATAGTAGATTCTTGCTCATGCTTGGTACGTAAAGTACGTTCTTGATCTCGATCTCACGCTCTTCACCGTCGGGCAGAACCACCTTTTCAAAGATGGTTCCAACACCCTTGATGGCCACTGTGTTGCCATCCGCCACCAAGATTTCACCGTCGTTGCGCTTGTTCAGTCTTGCAAACTTGGTCTTGTCGTGGCATATGTGGTGTGTTGCACCACTGTCGACTGCCTACATTCCGGACACGTCCTTCTTCGCTGAGAGTCCACACTCTAGCGAAACTGCAAACGCTACTTGATCGTAGTCGCTGTCTTCATCACGATATTGTCCCCACTGGACATTGTTTGCCCCGCGTCCACGACCAATGCCGCCGCGTCGGGCCCCTCGACTTTCATTCTTCTGCTTGGACCAACAGCGATCGACGATGTGTCCCACCTTTTCACAGTAGGTGCACTTATGTGGCTCGCATTCAGTGTTGAAGGCGTTGGATGCATTTTCAGTCTTGACCATCGTCGCTGTTGTTGTCACCTTCTCCCCTTGGCGCTTGGTGCGCTCATTCGTGAGCACCTTCACCACATCTTGGGTATGAAGCTCTGCGCTGCTCATCTCCAAGTTTAGAACAACGTTCTCGAAACTCTTGGGCAGACTGCGCAGTAAGCAGATTGCAACGTCCTCGTCCTACATCTTGGCGCCGATGCGGCTTAGCTTGGTGGCGATGTTCAAGACTTCATTGCAGTACTGCTTGACGTTCGCGCCTTTAGCCATCTTTATGCTGAACAGTTGACGCTTGAGGTAGATGCGCCCCTCCTTCTGTGATCCACTGTAGAGCGTCTTCAGGCGTGACCACGCGACCCATGCTTCCTCGCATTTGTCAGGCACACGGTGTAGTCCGCACCCAAGTGGAGCAACATCAGCCCGAACGCGATGTTGCTCGTCTCGACGTAATCGTCGGACGCTCGCGGGTCGGTAGGAATTGGCGTCACCTCGCGGTTCACGACGTGCCAGACGGACTTCGTCAAGAACACACCACGCATGTACCGCCTCCAAGTAGCATAGTTGTCTTTATTGGACTTATCAATGAGACGCTGGATGATGCGTTGGTGGACGTCATGACGCTTGGGCTCATAAACTGTTGCATTGGTAGAGAGCGGAGCTGATGGAGCGGAGAGGCTGAAGAGAGTGGAGAAGGAGAGACTTGCTCACTAGTTGGAAGATTCGAAAGTGATTGATTTATCGGGGCTTAATACTTACTACATGATTTACATGTGGTGTACATATAAATCATTTGAAGTGTCTCGTCATCCTACGCGTCTAATCAACAATACTAACTACCGTAAGAACTACGTCGTAAATACTAAGCTGAACAGGCGGTTCGGATTAAACGGTCATGGTTAACAAAAATGGTAGGAAACCGATGACCGTCAACTAAGAGCTTGATGAACTTTCGACTTCTTGGTCCGAGTGCAAAACGCAAAGTGAATATATATTTATAATAGGTACTTAGTTCGCAACTTTGAATACTACCTCTAAGCCTATTATTCGCAGTGACGTCATCCAGTGACGTCACCCACTGACGTCACCCACTGACGTCATGCAATGACGTCATCCAGTGACGTCACCCACTGACGTCATCCAATGACGTCATTTCCTGACTTCGCCCTTACTGGTACATACCGGTACCCACCGGTATAGCGAAGCTTGGTCTTCCACTTGCTTCAACACTTGACGCAGCCTGACGAGGTGTCTTCTTCACAGCCGCTGTCTTTTCAACACTCCCTCTCGACTCGTTAGCTGCGGCACCTTGGATCCCAAGTCGATCGCGAATGTTTTCAAATTGTACAGCGGCGATCGGCTTGGTCATCATGTCTGCCAGCATATCTTGAGTCGGGCAATACTCCAAAACGACTTCACCTGATTCCACCTTCTCACGCACAAAATGGTAGCGTATGTCGATGTGTTTTGTTCTCTTATGGAACTCCGGGTTCTTGGCGAGAGCGATTGATCCTTGGTTGTCTTCATACATCTTGATCGCTTCGTCGCTTGTCATCTCACCAAGTTCCCCCAAAAGCACTTTGAGCCATACTGCTTCTTTGGTTGCTTCGGAAAGCGCCATGTATTCTGCTTCTGTTGAAGATAGCGCGACCGTCCGTTGTTTCTGGCTTTTCCAGCTGATGCATCCTCCGCTCATCATGAACACATATCCGCTTGTACTTCGTCTTGACTCAATGTCGCCGGCCCAGTCTGCGTCGGTGTACCCGCAGATACGGCTTCCTTCTTCACGTGTAAACTCAAGACCATGATTGGGCGTTGCTTGCAGGTATCTCAGCACACGCTTCAAAGCTTGCCAGTGAGTCGGGCATGGGTCGGACGAGAACTGGGATAATGATCCCACTGCAGCAGCTAGATCCGGACGTGTGGCGACCATGAGATACATGATGCCTCCGACAGCACTTCGATATGGCACGTTGCACATGGTGTCTTCGTGCTTGCATTCTTGTTCACACATGTTCTTGGTTAGCTTCAGGCCGGGATCTTGAGGCGTCTTCACTGGCTTGCTGTTATCCATTCCGAACTTGGTTAACACGGACTTGAGGAACTTGGTTTGTTGTACAGTCACCATTCCCGTCTTACGGTCGTTCTTGATCTCCATGCCGAGAAAGTAATCGAGCTCACCGAGATCCGTCATTTCGAAGCGTTTGCTCAGCGCCATCTTGGTTGACTTGAGGAGTTCGTTGTTGCTGCTGGCCAGGATGAGATCATCGACGTAGAGCACCACGAGAATCATGTCTTGGTCGTCTCGCTTGATGTAGATGCAGTGGTCCGATTCGCACTTCTTGAATCCCATCTTGATCATGAACCCATCGATTGTTTGGTTCCACATGCGAGGCGATTGCTTCAAGCCGTAGAGTGATCTCTTTAGCTTGCACACATAGTCCGGCTGTGTTGCATCCAGGTATCCGTCCGGCTGGTCCATGTAGATGTCTTCGTTGAGGGAGCCGTTAAGAAACGCTGTCTTGACGTCCATCTGATGTAGCATTAGGCCGTACTTAGCCGCCATACTGAGCACCACACGAATCGATGTGAACTTGGCCACCGGTGCGAAAGTTTCTTCATAGTCAACTCCGAATTTCTGTGAGAATCCTTTGGCCACAAGTCTTGCCTTGAAACGTTCAACTTCGCCATCTTGATTCTCCTTTACACGAAAAACCCATCGGCACCCGATGGCCTTGCGACCTTTCGGAAGAGGCACGATTTCCCACGTGTCGTTTCTCTGAAGCGAGTCGAACTCCGAGTCACACGCTTCTTTCCACTTGCCGGAGTCGCTTGATTCCATAGCCGACTTGAACGTAGTCGGCGTTTTCCCCACTGAATCAACGATGTAGGCTGCTTCAAAATCCATTGCAGCCGCTGACACATGCTCAAGCGACGGACCTCTGTACGTTCTTCGCTTGGGACTTGGAATGACGGTAGCTTTCTCAAGTGATTGAGTGCGCGTGTGTCTCTTGATGTTGCTCTTCGAAGACCTGGTGTCTTCGTTGTCATCGTCGCTCGAGTCCATGTCGTCGTCAGTTTTGCCTTCTTCTTTTTTTCTTCGTCGTCGTCTTGATTGTCGAACTCAACCGCACTTGAATCATCGTTGTAGTTGCGTGGACCTTCATCAAACTTGTCTTCCATGAACGTGGCATCGCGACTGATCTTGATCGCTCCTGTTGATACTTCCTCGAATCGATATGACTTCTGGTGTTCGGCGTACCCCAGGAAACAACAGAGTGATGACTTGGAGTCGAATTTTGCGCGTTTGTCTTGAGGCACTTGAACATACGCGTGGCATCCAAACACTTTAAGGTTGGCCAGAATCGGTTTCTTCATCGTCCACACTTGATATGGAGACTTGTCTTGGTGAATGGCACGTGTTGGACAGCGGTTTCGAAGAAACATCGCCGTCATCACTGCTTCACCCCAGTAGCTCTTTCCCAGTCCAGCGTGTTCCATCATGCAACGCGCACACTCGACCAGCGTGCGATTCATTCTCTCAGCTACTCCGTTTAGCTGAGGAGTATATGGGGGTGTGAACCTTTGTTGTATTCCCCGTTCCGCGCAGAATCGTGCCAGCTTGTCGGACTTGTATTCACCCCCATTGTCGCTTTGAAGGTACTTCACGCGCTTTCCGGTTTGCGTTTCGGCCATCGCAGCGTATTCCATGAACTTCGCCGCAACTTCAGATTTGCTCTTGAGCAGATAGACGACACAGTATCTTGACTTGTCATCAATGAATGTCACGAAGTACCGTTTTCCACTGAAAGTTGCCATCGACATCGGTCCGCATACGTCGCTGTGAATCACTTCGAGGAGTTTGGAGGTGCGAGCTGTAGTGTTTGATTGGAAGCGCACTCGAGTCTGTTTTCCCAGAGCACAACCTTCACACACGTCCCACTTCTTCACCGAAGATATGTCGATGCCAATTCCAATGTCCTTCGTCACGATGCAATTGAGTCCATCGTGACCTATGTGGCCAAGCCGAAGGTGCCAGAGGTACGACTTGGTGCCCCCTTGACATCCCGACGACTTGGCTGCATTTGCTTGTTCCGGCGCCACTGGAGTCATTTGCAGCTTGAACAGTCCTTTACCTTCACGGGCACCAATTTTCCACTTGGTCCCTTTCGCTTCTCCATAGCACCCATCCTTCGTGAACGTCACTGGGCCGACATCCTTGGTGAAGCGGCCGACCGAGAACAGGTTTCTGGATAGCTTTGGGATGTGCCACACGTTTGTGAGCACACCTTTCTTCATCCCTTGGGGTGTCTTCATCGACATGACAATGTCCCCACTGCCGATTGCTTGGACGATTCCATCATCCGCGAGATGGACATCCACAGCGTCAAACCCCTTGTAGTTCCGCATGAACTTCTTGGAGCACGTCATGTGCTGCGTCGCCCCGGAGTCGACCAGCCAGATGTCGCTCGATTACGCAGATGTCGTTTCACCGATCGAAAAGAGGTAGTCGCCCGAGTCTTCTTCTTGAGCGACGTTTGCACGTTGTGATCGATAGCGGTCGCCGCTGTCTTGAGCACGCTGTGGCCGGTGTCTCTCCGTGTTTTCTTGGATGCGCGAGGGGCACTCCGCCATCCAGTGACCAATCTTTCCGCAATTGTGGCACGGCCAGGACTTCTTCACTGGTCGCCCTTTGCGCTGATTGTCCCTTGTGATGAACGCTTGACCTTGCGAAGCTTCATCACCTTTACTTCCTTGCTCCTTCCGCTTCATTTCTTCATGAAGCAGTCGAGACGTCACGAGCTCCCAGCTAAGAGTGTCTGAGCGCGACTCCAAAGCTGTGATCAAGAATTGATACGAGTCACTCAGGCTGCCGAGAAGTGTGATCACCAGATCGTCCTCGCAGACTGGAGCCCCCACCGCTTCTAGCTGTTCCGCCAGCGTCTTGAGCTTGTTGATGTGTTCGAGCACATCGTCGCCTTCTTCCATCATTGTCGTGAAGAAGCGACGGCGCAAGAACAGCTTGTTGGCAAGACTCTTCTTCTCGAAGTGGTCTTCCAACCTTGACCATGCGTCGCATGCACCACTTGCCGACCGGACCAATGGTAGCTGGGAATCTTCCATGGCTAGACAGATCACTGCCATCGCCTTTCTTGACTTCCTCTTGTACGTCGCTTGGTCCAACTGAGTCTCGCACTGTTCCGCCTTGATCTCACCGCTGACGACCTCCCATAGGTCCCGTTCCTCCAGCACCATCTGCATCTTGAACTTCCAGGCGTGGAAGTTAGTTCCATCGAACTTGGAGATGCGGAGGGAGGAGGCGTCCATGGCAGCTAAGCTTGAATTGTTGGCGGTTTCAGAGTCTGACGAACTTGGGCTCATAACCTGATGAACTTTAGACTTCTTGGTCCGAGTGCAAAACGCAAAGTGAATATATATTTATAATAGGTACTTAGTTCGCAACTTTGAATACTACCTCTAAGCCTATTATTCGCAGTGACGTCACCCACTGACGTCATGCAATGACGTCACCCACTGACGTCATGCAATGACGTCATCCAGTGACGTCATTTCCTGACTTCGCCCTTACTGGTACATACCGGTACCCACCGGTATAGCGAAGCTTGGTCTTCCACTTGCTTCAACACTTGACGCAGCCTGACGAGGTGTCTTCTTCACAGCCGCTGTCTTTTCAACAGAGCTCACTGTAATTATGGAACTGTAACTCACAGCAAATGCAATGTCCGGTCGTGTCGCGGTCATCAAGTGCATTAAAGCGCCTACTGCTTCACAAAACGGGGCGTCAATTTTGGTTACTGCACTGCTTGGTATGAGTCAAGAACTGATGTCTGTTGGGCTGGTGACGGCTTTGCAGTCGCTCATGCCAAAACGCTTGAGAACATCTTCCACGTAGCGTCGCTGGCACATCGTCACGCTACCGTTGTCGTTGTCCACCAGCTCGATGCCCAACACGAATGCGCACTTGCCGCTGTCAGTCATTTCGAAACGCGCCTTCAAGTCACTCTTGGTGCGCATGACCAGTTCGGTCGAGCTGCCAGTCACCAACACATCATCGACGTATACCAGCAAAAGCACGCACTCGCCACTTGTAATCTTGAGATAAAGACACGGGTCAAAATGAGATACTTGAAATCCAATGGAGCAGACGAACTCATAGAAATTTCCTTCCATACGCGCGATGCTTGTTTTAGTCCGTAGATCGCCTTCAACAATTCGAAGCAGTCAAAGTCTTCATCAACTTCGACCCCTTCTGGGATCGCGCAGAATACCTTTTCCTTCATCTCTTCGCATAGCAAAGCTGTCACCACGTCCAGTAGGTCCAGTGTCCAGTCAAAGTACTTCGTGATTGCAACTACCATGCGCAGCGTCACGTACTTGAATACCGGCAAAAACGTCTCCGTGTAGTCGATGCCATATTTCTGCTTGAACCCTTTTGCCACGAGACGCGCCTTGTATTTCTCGATGGATCCATCAGCTTTCCGCTTGATATTGAATACCCACTTGGTGCCAATGGTATACTGTCCAGCTCGCAGTTTGGGCGCTCGAAGCACGCCACGAAGTTTCATCGAGTCCAACTCGGCACAGATTGCTTCACACCAATGCACTTGATCCGGTCCATCAACAGCATCTTTAAACGTTGTCGGCTCAGACAAGTCAGTACCTTCGACTGCGTTGACACTCGCTCGCCAAAAGACTTGAGGTGTAGCATCCTCGTTATCTTCGTCACTGCCCTTTTGCTCTTCGTCCAGATTTGCTCGAGCGCTTGACCGTCGCTTCGCTTGGTGCGTTTCAAAGTCATCCGGTGCACTTGCTTCTTCGAACCCGGTTCCACGACGCTCAGGAAGTGTCCGTTGTAGAGCTTGTTCTTGGCTGTTTGAACGGCTTTTGCGTTTTCCAATTTGCTTGAACTCCATAGGGTGAGGCTCATCGCTAATGTTCATCGATTCGATATCCAGCGCAGTGTCATCAACAATTTCTTGTGGTAGCGTCGGCGAGAAACCAAACGTTGGTTCGTCGAATGTGACATCGCGAGATATCACCACTTGATCCGCTTCAATGTCGTAAACGCGATATGCCTTTGACACTTCTTCGTACCCCATGAATCGTCCTTCACGAGCCTTTGGATCCCATTTCGATCTCTTTTCCTTAGGGGTCAGCACAAACGTTCGGCAGCCGAAAACCCGCATGTGCTTCACACTTGGTCGAAATCCGTTGACAATCTCGAACGGGGTTTGATCTTGGCACTTGGGCGATGGTAGGCGATTCTTGATGTAGATTGCCGTTGTTGCATTGGTAGAGAGCGGAGCTGATGGAGCGGAGAGGCTGAAGAGAGTGGAGAAGGAGAGACTTGCTCAATTGTTGGAAGATTCGAAAGTAATTGACTATCGGGGCTTACTACTTACTACATGATTTTTATGTGGTGCACATATAAATCATTTGAAGCGTCTCGTCATCCTACGCGTCTAATCAACTAGGGTAACCACCGTAAGAACTACGTCGTAAATACTAAGCTGAACAGGCGGTTGGGATTGGACCGGTCACGGTTACCAATACTGGTAGGAAACCGATGACCGTCAGCACGCCCCCTCAATGCGAACACGCACAAATCGCGAAAGCCGCCATCATCTCCTTGTGGCGTGGCCCGTGAAGTCCCTTCGTCATGATGCCCGCTAACAGTACCGCAGTTTCACAGTACTTGAGCTTCACTTCACCGCGCTTGACCTCATCACGGATGTGATGGTACTTTATGTCAATGTGCTTGGCACGGCAGTGGTTGACCGGGTTCTTCGTCATCTTGATACACGACTGATTGTATTCATGGATCATGAGTTCCGGTCCTTCTTCATTGGCAGCCATCATGATATCACAAAGCAGACGATGAATCCACTTGCCCTCTTGAATCGCCAAGCTGAGTGCGATGTATTCGGCATCACTCGTGGACAACGAAACACTTGGCTGTTTCTTGCTGTTTGGCTTATAGCAAATCCCATGCGTCTTGGTGTCTTGCAGGTATCGGAGGATTCGTATAATTGCAACCCAGTGTTCTTTTTGGGGGTTCCCCATGAATCGTGACACATAGCCCACGGCGAACGCAGCGTTCGTGCGCGTTGCAGTGGTCAGATGCATCAACGCACCAACAGCTTCGCGAAAAGGAGCATTGACCTTGGTAGCTGCATCGCTTGAAACGAGTCGAGAGTCATGTCCACTGGACGTGCGACTGCCTTGCAATCATCCATGCCAAAGCGCTTGAGTATGTCATCTACATACCGACGCTGACGTAGTCTCACACTTCCATCTGCGCCGTCCAAAAGCTCGATTCCAAGCACAAATGCACACTTGCCGCTGTCAGTCATCTCGAAGCGTGTCTTCAGGTCTTCCTTGGTGTGTGCAATTAGCTCGCATGAGCTACCGGTGATCAACACGTCATCCACATACACCAGCAGCAGCACGCATTGCCCTCCCACAATCCTTATGTAGAGACACGGGTCGAGGCTTGACGCTTGAAATCCAATAGCACACACGAACTCGTCAAACGTTTCGTTCCATACGCGCGACGCTTGCTTGAGTCCGTAGAATGCCTTCACCAACTCCAGACAATCGAAGGAGTCCTCCAATTCCACGCCTTCAGGGATGACGCAGAACACTTGTTCCTTCATGACACCATACAGGAATGCCGTCACCACGTCGAGTTGGTCGATGGTCTATCCGAAATACTTGGATACTGCAATCACCATGCGCAGCGTCACGTACTTGACGACGGGCGAGAATGTTTCCGTGTAGTCCATCCCATATTGTTTCTTGAAACCCTTTGCCACAAGACGCGCCTTGTACTTATCAATTGATCCGTCCGCTTTGCGCTTGATCTTGAAGACCCACTTCGTGCCAATGGCGCGATGTCCTTTAGGTAGCTTGGCTGCGCGGAATACTTCACGAAGTCGCATCGACTCAAGTTCCGCACGGATAGCTTCGCGCCAATGCACTTGATCAGGACCGCTCACCGCAGCTTCAAAAGTCGATGGCTCGGATAAGTCTACTGCCGTTTCGATGGCGTTCGCACTCGCACGCCAAAACACAGGCGGAGTCGATGCATCAGCATTCTTTGTTTCTTCATCTTCTTCTTGGTGGGTCGTGTGATTGTCTGGCGCACTTGATTCTTCTAGTCCAGGCCGTTGACGCACTGTGAGCGTGGGTGGAGCTGGTACTCCTTCATCATGGGGACGACTCTTGCGCTTGCCTGTTTGCTTGTACTGCGCTTGACCTGGCGCTTCATCATCCAGATCGAGGGAGTCGAAGTCAAGGTCATCGGCGTCTTTAGCGGTGGTTGGCGGCGAAAGTTTAAAGGTGGACTCGTCAAAGTTGACATCGCGACTGATGGACAACTGCCCCGCCTCGATGTCATAAACGCGATACGCTTTAGATGCTTCTTCGTAGCCCAAGAATATCCCAGTGCGAGCCTTGGGGTCCCACTTGAGACACTTCTCCTTCGGTTTCAGTATGTAAACCTGACAACCGAACACCCACATGTGCTTGACATTTTGCTTGGAGTTGTGGACGATCTCGAACGGAGTCTTGTGCATAACGTTAGGCGACGGCAGACGGTTCTTGACGTAGATTGCCGTCATTGCTGCTTCTGACCAGAAGCACTTTTCCAACTTGGCATGGTGGAGCATGCTGCGACCAATTGTGACGATAGTCCGAATGGCGCGCTCTACCGTGCAGTTGGTCTGGTGTGCATATGGCACCGTCTTCTGCTGCTCAATGCCTTCATCTTCGTAGAATTCTTGAAGCGAGTTGGTTGCGAACTCGCGGGCTCCGTCGTGTCGAACGAGCTTGACCTTCTTGCCAAACTGCGCTTGCACCATCTTGATGTATCGTGTGATGTAGTTTTCACTCTCCGACTTCACACGTAGACAGAAGCCCTTCATGCATCCACTGGCTTCGTCAAAGATCAGCAGTAGATATTTGCTGCCACCCAGAGAATTCATTTCTATGGGTCCGCATATGTCGACGTGAAGTAGCTCGAAGGTGTCGTATCTGCGATTGTCCTGGTTCCCTGGGAATGGTTTTTGGACCATTTTCTCTTGTTGACATCCTCGGCATGCGCTTGATCCATTTGACGTGAGAGGTACCTTCACATCCTTGATCATGTTCGTGGCCACCATTTTGCGAAGCACATCAGCTCGAGCGTGTCCCATTCGCGCATGTAAGTCGACACCGTTGCATCCGTTTGTTGTCGCATTGGCCGATCGATGAGCTGTGTGAAGCCAGTAAAGGCCATCCACAAGATATGCTGTTGCCACCACTTGGTGCGATCCTTTGCGAGCAGCAAACATCTTGTTCCCGTCGAACACCACTTAAAACTTGCCGTGCTTGTTGATCTGCGGTACCGATAGTAGATTCTTGCTCATGCTTGGTACGTAAAGTACGTTCTTGATCTCGATCTCACGCTCTTCACCGTCGGGCAGAACCACCTTTTCAAAGATGGTTCCAACACCCTTGATGGCCACTGTGTTGCCATCCGCCACCAAGATTTCACCGTCGTTGCGCTTGTTCAGTCTTGCAAACTTGGTCTTGTCGTGGCATATGTGGTGTGTTGCACCACTGTCGACTGCCTACATTCCGGACACGTCCTTCTTCGCTGAGAGTCCACACTCTAGCGAAACTGCAAACGCTACTTGATCGTAGTCGCTGTCTTCATCACGATATTGTCCCCACTGGACATTGTTTGTCCCGCGTCCACGACCAATGCCGCCGCGTCGGGCCCCTCGACTTTCATTCTTCTGCTTGGACCAACAGCGATCGACGATGTGTCCCACCTTTTCACAGTAGGTGCACTTATGTGGCTCGCATTCAGTGTTGAAGGCGTTGGATGCATTTTCAGTCTTGACCATCGTCGCTGTTGTTGTCACCTTCTCCCCTTGGCGCTTGGTGCGCTCATTCGTGAGCACCTTCACCACATCTTGGGTATGAAGCTCTGCGCTGCTCATCTCCAAGTTGAGAACCACGTTCTCGAAACTCTTGGGCAGACTGCGCAGTAAGCAGATTGCAACGTCCTCGTCCTACATCTTGGCGCCGATGCGGCTTAGCTTGGTGGCGATGTTCAAGACTTCATTGCAGTACTGCTTGACGTTCGCGCCTTTAGCCATCTTTATGCTGAACAGTTGACGCTTGAGGTAGATGCGCCCCTCCTTCTGTGATCCACTGTAGAGCGTCTTCAGGCGTGACCACGCGACCCATGCTTCCTCGCATTTGTCAGGCACACGGTGTAGTCCGCACCCAAGTGGAGCAACATCAGCCCGAACGCGATGTTGCTCGTCTCGACGTAATCGTCGGACGCTCGCGGGTCGGTAGGAATTGGCGTCACCTCGCGGTTCACGACGTGCCAGACGGACTTCGTCAAGAACACACCACGCATGTACCGCCTCCAAGTAGCATAGTTGTCTTTATTGGACTTATCAATGAGACGCTGGATGATGCGTTGGTGGACGTCATGACGCTTGGGCTCATAAACTGTTGCATTGGTAGAGAGCGGAGCTGATGGAGCGGAGAGGCTGAAGAGAGTGGAGAAGGAGAGACTTGCTCACTAGTTGGAAGATTCGAAAGTGATTGATTTATCGGGGCTTAATACTTTACTACATGATTTACATGTGGTGTACATATAAATCATTTGAAGTGTCTCGTCATCCTACGCGTCTAATCAACAATACTAACTACCGTAAGAACTACGTCGTAAATACTAAGCTGAACAGGCGGTTCGGATTAAACGGTCATGGTTAACAAAAATGGTAGGAAACCGATGACCGTCAACTAAGAGCTTGATGAACTTTCGACTTCTTGGTCCGAGTGCAAAACGCAAAGTGAATATATATTTATAATAGGTACTTAGTTCGCAACTTTGAATACTACCTCTAAGCCTATTATTCGCAGTGACGTCATCCAGTGACGTCACCCACTGACGTCACCCACTGACGTCATGCAATGACGTCATCCAGTGACGTCACCCACTGACGTCATCCAATGACGTCATTTCCTGACTTCGCCCTTACTGGTACATACCGGTACCCACCGGTATAGCGAAGCTTGGTCTTCCACTTGCTTCAACACTTGACGCAGCCTGACGAGGTGTCTTCTTCACAGCCGCTGTCTTTTCAACACTCCCTCTCGACTCGTTAGCTGCGGCACCTTGGATCCCAAGTCGATCGCGAATGTTTTCAAATTGTACAGCGGCGATCGGCTTGGTCATCATGTCTGCCAGCATATCTTGAGTCGGGCAATACTCCAAAACGACTTCACCTGATTCCACCTTCTCACGCACAAAATGGTAGCGTATGTCGATGTGTTTTGTTCTCTTATGGAACTCCGGGTTCTTGGCGAGAGCGATTGATCCTTGGTTGTCTTCATACATCTTGATCGCTTCGTCGCTTGTCATCTCACCAAGTTCCCCCAAAAGCACTTTGAGCCATACTGCTTCTTTGGTTGCTTCGGAAAGCGCCATGTATTCTGCTTCTGTTGAAGATAGCGCGACCGTCCGTTGTTTCTGGCTTTTCCAGCTGATGCATCCTCCGCTCATCATGAACACATATCCGCTTGTACTTCGTCTTGACTCAATGTCGCCGGCCCAGTCTGCGTCGGTGTACCCGCAGATACGGCTTCCTTCTTCACGTGTAAACTCAAGACCATGATTGGGCGTTGCTTGCAGGTATCTCAGCACACGCTTCAAAGCTTGCCAGTGAGTCGGGCATGGGTCGGACGAGAACTGGGATAATGATCCCACTGCAGCAGCTAGATCCGGACGTGTGGCGACCATGAGATACATGATGCCTCCGACAGCACTTCGATATGGCACGTTGCACATGGTGTCTTCGTGCTTGCATTCTTGTTCACACATGTTCTTGGTTAGCTTCAGGCCGGGATCTTGAGGCGTCTTCACTGGCTTGCTGTTATCCATTCCGAACTTGGTTAACACGGACTTGAGGAACTTGGTTTGTTGTACAGTCACCATTCCCGTCTTACGGTCGTTCTTGATCTCCATGCCGAGAAAGTAATCGAGCTCACCGAGATCCGTCATTTCGAAGCGTTTGCTCAGCGCCATCTTGGTTGACTTGAGGAGTTCGTTGTTGCTGCTGGCCAGGATGAGATCATCGACGTAGAGCACCACGAGAATCATGTCTTGGTCGTCTCGCTTGATGTAGATGCAGTGGTCCGATTCGCACTTCTTGAATCCCATCTTGATCATGAACCCATCGATTGTTTGGTTCCACATGCGAGGCGATTGCTTCAAGCCGTAGAGTGATCTCTTTAGCTTGCACACATAGTCCGGCTGTGTTGCATCCAGGTATCCGTCCGGCTGGTCCATGTAGATGTCTTCGTTGAGGGAGCCGTTAAGAAACGCTGTCTTGACGTCCATCTGATGTAGCATTAGGCCGTACTTAGCCGCCATACTGAGCACCACACGAATCGATGTGAACTTGGCCACCGGTGCGAAAGTTTCTTCATAGTCAACTCCGAATTTCTGTGAGAATCCTTTGGCCACAAGTCTTGCCTTGAAACGTTCAACTTCGCCATCTTGATTCTCCTTTACACGAAAAACCCATCGGCACCCGATGGCCTTGCGACCTTTCGGAAGAGGCACGATTTCCCACGTGTCGTTTCTCTGAAGCGAGTCGAACTCCGAGTCACACGCTTCTTTCCACTTGCCGGAGTCGCTTGATTCCATCGCCGACTTGAATGTAGTCGGCGTTTCCCCCACTGAATCAACGATGTAGGCTGCTTCAAAATCCATTGCAGCCGCTGACACATGCTCAAGCGACGGACCTCTGTACGTTCTTCGCTTGGGACTTGAATGACGGTAGCTTTCTCAAGTGATTGAGTGCGCGTGTGTCTCTTGATGTTGCTCTTCGAAGACCTGGTGTCTTCGTTGTCATCGTCGCTCGAGTCCATGTCGTCGTCAGTTTTGCCTTCTTCTTTTTCTTCGTCGTCGTCTTGATTGTCGAACTCAACCGCACTTGAATCATCGTTGTAGTTGCGTGGACCTTCATCAAACTTGTCTTCCATGAACGTGGCATCGCGACTGATCTTGATCGCTCCTGTTGATACTTCCTCGAATCGATATGACTTCTGGTGTTCGGCGTACCCCAGGAAACAACAGAGTGATGACTTGGAGTCGAATTTTGCGCGTTTGTCTTGAGGCACTTGAACATACGCGTGGCATCCAAACACTTTAAGGTTGGCCAGAATCGGTTTCTTCATCGTCCACACTTGATATGGAGACTTGTCTTGGTGAATGGCACGTGTTGGACAGCGGTTTCGAAGAAACATCGCCGTCATCACTGCTTCACCCCAGTAGCTCTTTCCCAGTCCAGCGTGTTCCATCATGCAACGCGCACACTCGACCAGCGTGCGATTCATTCTCTCAGCTACTCCGTTTAGCTGAGGAGTATATGGGGGTGTGAACCTTTGTTGTATTCCCCGTTCCGCGCAGAATCGTGCCAGCTTGTCGGACTTGTATTCACCCCCATTGTCGCTTTGAAGGTACTTCACGCGCTTTCCGGTTTGCGTTTCGGCCATCGCAGCGTATTCCATGAACTTCGCCGCAACTTCAGATTTGCTCTTGAGCAGATAGACGACACAGTATCTTGACTTGTCATCGATGAATGTCACGAAGTACCGTTTTCCACTGAAAGTTGCCATCGACATCGGTCCGCATACGTCGCTGTGAATCACTTCGAGGAGTTTGGAGGTGCGAGCTGTAGTGTTTGATTGGAAGCGCACTCGAGTCTGTTTTCCCAGAGCACAACCTTCACACACGTCCCACTTCTTCACCGAAGATATGTCGATGCCAATTCCAATGTCCTTCGTCACGATGCAATTGAGTCCATCGTGACCTATGTGGCCAAGCCGAAGGTGCCAGAGGTACGACTTGGTGCCCCCTTGACATCCCGACGACTTGGCTGCATTTGCTTGTTCCGGCGCCACTGGAGTCATTTGCAGCTTGAACAGTCCTTTACCTTCACGGGCACCAATTTTCCACTTGGTCCCTTTCGCTTCTCCATAGCACCCATCCTTCGTGAACGTCACTGGGCCGACATCCTTGGTGAAGCGGCCGACCGAGAACAGGTTTCTGGATAGCTTTGGGATGTGCCACACGTTTGTGAGCACACCTTTCTTCATCCCTTGGGGTGTCTTCATCGACATGACAATGTCCCCACTGCCGATTGCTTGGACGATTCCATCATCCGCGAGATGGACATCCACAGCGTCAAACCCCTTGTAGTTCCGCATGAACTTCTTGGAGCACGTCATGTGCTGCGTCGCCCCGGAGTCGACCAGCCAGATGTCGCTCGATTACGCAGATGTCGTTTCACCGATCGAAAAGAGGTAGTCGCCCGAGTCTTCTTCTTGAGCGACGTTTGCACGTTGTGATCGATAGCGGTCGCCGCTGTCTTGAGCACGCTGTGGCCGGTGTCTCTCCGTGTTTTCTTGGATGCGCGAGGGGCACTCCGCCATCCAGTGACCAATCTTTCCGCAATTGTGGCACGGCCAGGACTTCTTCACTGGTCGCCCTTTGCGCTGATTGTCCCTTGTGATGAACGCTTGACCTTGCGAAGCTTCATCACCTTTACTTCCTTGCTCCTTCCGCTTCATTTCTTCATGAAGCAGTCGAGACGTCACGAGCTCCCAGCTAAGAGTGTCTGAGCGCGACTCCAAAGCTGTGATCAAGAATTGATACGAGTCACTCAGGCTGCCGAGAAGTGTGATCACCAGATCGTCCTCGCAGACTGGAGCCCCCACCGCTTCTAGCTGTTCCGCCAGCGTCTTGAGCTTGTTGATGTGTTCGAGCACATCGTCGCCTTCTTCCATCATTGTCGTGAAGAAGCGACGGCGCAAGAACAGCTTGTTGGCAAGACTCTTCTTCTCGAAGTGGTCTTCCAACCTTGACCATGCGTCGCATGCACCACTTGCCGACCGGACCAATGGTAGCTGGGAATCTTCCATGGCTAGACAGATCACTGCCATCGCCTTTCTTGACTTCCTCTTGTACGTCGCTTGGTCCAACTGAGTCTCGCACTGTTCCGCCTTGATCTCACCGCTGACGACCTCCCATAGGTCCCGTTCCTCCAGCACCATCTGCATCTTGAACTTCCAGGCGTGGAAGTTAGTTCCATCGAACTTGGAGATGCGGAGGGAGGAGGCGTCCATGGCAGCTAAGCTTGAATTGTTGGCGGTTTCAGAGTCTGACGAACTTGGGCTCATAACCTGATGAACTTTAGACTTCTTGGTCCGAGTGCAAAACGCAAAGTGAATATATATTTATAATAGGTACTTAGTTCGCAACTTTGAATACTACCTCTAAGCCTATTATTCGCAGTGACGTCACCCACTGACGTCATGCAATGACGTCATCCAGTGACGTCA